AACCGCTTGAGTCCCAGACGGCATTAAATAATGTCATAACAATTGATTATCTATTGTGTCTAGATTCGCGGGCCTTGAAGGATTAATATACGTAACGCCTTTGAGACAAAATCCCAAATTATCTCTAGGTAGGATCTTGGGAAGCTACAGCCTACAGACAAGAGCGGCGTTGATCAAACTAAATTGAGGTTATGGCATTGAGAAATTCTAATCCCAACTTTAATATATCCCAACTAATATTATAAATGCGAAAGTAACTCTGTCTGTCTGTCTGTCTGTCTGTTACGCTTTCCCGCTTAAACCTCGCAACCGATTTTGATGAAATTTAGCATAGAGATAGTTTGAGTCCCGGGAAAAAACATAGGATAGTTTTTATCCCGGTTTTTGAAACAGGGACGCGCGCGATAAAGTTTTTCTGTGACAGACAAAATTCCACGCGGGCGAAGCCGCGGGCGGAAAGCTAGTTGTTGTATAAGTAAGTACCTACGTAATCAACAGAGTTTGGTTTAAGTAAGTAGGCACTAAGGCACCAACCTGCTTTTCTTGAATCTGAAAAAAGAACCGCCAAGATACTACTAGTTTTAGTAGAGCGTGTGAATTAGAATGTCTGAAGACCACTTAATAAAAGGTAAATAAAAATAATAATGCAAATATGAAAAATTATACGTTTATTTACATCATGTAACAAGACGTAGAACAACAATAATTTTATACACAGTATTCTTAATTTCGTGGGTTTCAAGCCAAAGGAAAGTTTAAACAGTAACAGATAATCCGTGCTAATCGAATTTGGCAATTTGTAGACTACATTTAGATATAGGTAAATTACATAACAAAATGAAAATAAACTGTCTCAGTGCTCTTATAATATATTATATCTTTGGTATTTATTAAGTAATCAACCAATTAATCAATTTGGTATCATCATTAAATACTAAGTTCATCTAGTATGTACGTAGGTAAATGTTTGTCGGCCTTAAGTATTGGCTTATTGGCGTAATCTATAGAATAAACATTAGGGTCACAAAAACTGTCACAAACTATAGAAATACATTTCATGCATTATTTTGGCTTAGAACCCACTAACTCTTCGACTTCCAATCTCTTACAAATCCTTATATAATCACAATCACAAATAATGTAAATAATTCAGTAAATAGTTCTTTGAAAAAAATAGGTCCTAATTATTTAGGCATGTATTTAAATGATCTTTTTAAATTAGCAAAAAAGGCAAATAAAAAAATCTATTTGGTCGTCTATTTTAATGATTGATCCTCTTTCTTTGAGACATAAAATAAATAAAATCGATCGATATTTTAACCTCTTTTGAACTACGCAAAAAAAATTTGAGATGTAAAAATTATATCTGATCGTTACTTGTTGGTCCTCAAAAATAAAAGAAATGAGCACCAAATATTCAATATTGTGATACTTTTTTAAATAATTCGATTTGTATAAATTATTTTTTGTCTATATCAAATAATCTTCAAAATAATTATGTTATGGTACTTATTTTTATTAAGTTGTAGTCAAAGGATGGAAACTATTTAAAGGCACTTGATGTTCAAAGATTTTTTTTTTATTAAAAAAGCATACTTAACACGTTCACACTGCGTTATCGGGTCGAATTGACCTTAGGTGCTGGATGCGTTGGTGCGGGATGGATATAATATTTGGTCTTTTCAGTAGTACGAAAGATAAATAAATATTGTTTTGCAATTGTTTAAATATTTGAAAAAAAAAAACTTATCAGGTCCTTACGACCCGATGTCGCACTAAAAGTAAACAAATATCGTTTAGTGCTTTTATCGTGTCTAATCGACCCGTTGACAGATGACTTTATGGTCACTGATCACGGTCGAGATCGGTATTGATCTGCCCCCTAGACAAGTGGCAAAATCTGACATTCTATTCGGAAGGATTCGATTTTCCAAAAGTGTGACTAGTCTATTCTACTAATAGACCCACTGATCGCGTTCGAAGCACCTGTGCGGCACTATACTCGTCACGACATGCAACGAGACAATGGGCCAACTATCCGGCCGCCGGATATCCGGCTATCCGGCCTAGCAGTTGGCCGGATATCCGGTATCCGGTATCCGGCCAAACAACTATCCGTTTCATCTCTACTGGAAACAATTTCTAAAGGGTGTGGAGGATTATAAAAAAAGTTTTATGTAGGGGCAACATTGAATCAGAAACCACAAAGATATCTACATGTTACTTAAAATTGATACACCGAAAGTATCTTGACATAGAGTGCTTTTTTAATCTATGTGATTAATGTTGCGGCACAACCAGCCCCGAGTCTGCAAAACTTTCGAACCCTACCCTTTTTCAAAGTTGTCTCTTTTAGTTTAAAACTGATGACAAAAGAACAACAGTGATATTAATATTGAAATGTATGCTTGCAGGTAATTAAATAGAGTCTATTTCGTTAATAGAGCAAAATTTAACTGGCCCCACTGTTGCCACATATTTCGTTTTATACTTAGATATTCGCATTCCCAGCACTGACAACTCCTGTAGGCCTAGGATGCGCGCCGTGATAAGCGGTTATCACGCTACCTACTTTATCGATTTTTCCCATACATTTTAACATCGATAAAAGTTATCACGGCGCGCTTTTTAGGCCTAACTGGGGTTACCTTTGAAATTGTATATAATTATGTATTCCCACATACAACCCCACATCGTACCACCTTATCGCCGTTTTGTAAACATTTCTATTCAAAGGGAAATTGAAGCGGTAGATAAGTAATGATGATAAAAATACGAATTCTCTTTTTGTGATAAATTGTCCCGTTGAAAATAAATATTTTAGGTCAAGAACGCGAGTGAATTGTCGTCGCTTTCAATTTACATAATAAGTGTTAAAAATGTAACCAAATAAAATATGGTTACTAATTTCAGAATATTGTCGTCTCTTTTGGCACAAAATTTGTTACGGAATAAGTAATGTGTCATTTCAGATAAATGATGAAGTTGGCGAATCTTTGAGATGGCGTGGGTAGGGAAATAGTTTTGACAAGCAAACTTTCTGTTTTACGAGTTAGTTTACTGTTATATTGAAGTGAAAACAATGAGTGATATGTACACAATTTGATTGTTTATTGAAAGTGCTAGTAACGTCAATTTGTTTGATTGAAAGCAATAAGCCAAGGAAATCAACACACAAAATGTATTATACACCTTAGATACCTAAATCGTGATATCTTTTTGGTCCATTCGATAAAACTGCAGATGAGGCTGAAAGAGCGTAAAGTATTTATTTATTTATCTAAACAAGTACATCTCTATTAAATGACATAATATCTCTCATAAAATTATTTACAATATACTTGTAAGTAGGTATTTATAAAGACCACGTTCCATTTTCATCTCGATTAAACTTTTCGTACTTAATTTACATTACGATTGAATGAGTAAAGGATAAAATTTTCTCAAAATATCACAAGACTCAATTTCTATAACTTAACGAAACGCAGAAAAATAATTAAACAAATACGTCCTTTCTGAGCCCAAAGTAATGACAACTTTAATTACGGATCTCCAAAACGTGACAAGCACAAAATACGCTTATTCAGCCTCACCCTTAAAAAAGTAATGCGCTCATAAGCACGATAATTAAGTATAAAATAAAATACACACATTTCGAACCATTTTGCCGCAAGCAATTTATTCAAAGAAGTAAAATTCAATTTGCTGGGGAATTGAGTAAGCAATGCGGCGAACAACTCGATAACAAAGTGCCGGCTGTGACACTAAAGAAAAATGCACAACCAAAACTCGACTTGCCTGTACCTACAGGCGAGTCTAGACTCTAGTTACACAAGGGAAACTAATTTTAGAAGCGACGACCCGATTATAGTTTTTTTTTATCCACAACGATGAAGCTCTTGGCCTGTATCTCACCTGATGGTAAGTGATGATCAGGCCGAAGGTGTAAGCGAGCTTCTTTTTTCAAAGATTTTTCGTTACTTATCAGCACACATATTTCACGGAAGCCATCCTCATCATCATCATTTCAGACATAGGACGTCCACTGCTGAACAATGAACATACATATAAAAGGTAGGCAATTGATGATTTCCATGTGTATCGGTTGGTAAAGCGGCCTGTACCTATCCAGAATCACTTTCTCTTAGGTGATACGATTTTTCTCTTGAAGCTTCGTTTTTGAGGACATAAACATAACTACGTTTAGAGAATGGTTAAGCACTGAAATCCATTTTGCAGTTTAGCGGTTATTTGAAAAATTGATTTCATCTACCTACCAAGGTAGGTATGGGAAATTGGTAGCTATCGTATGAACGACAGTCGCTAATATAACTTTGATTAAGTCAATTATTATGGCTTATAAGCTATTCCGGAATATATTCCGGAATGAATAACTAAAAGTCGATTCAAACTCAAAGAATCATCGCTAAATCTCGTTCAGTTAAGTGTGCCATTGGATGAGTTCACTTTAGTTTACTCTACAGCCGACTTTAGTCGCCGGAGCTAAAAGCACCCGTGTAGAATAGGTATGAGATTACGGTCGTATATCGTCGCTACCCTGTATGTTTCATGATAAAGTCAAGAAACGAATTCTATTTGCTAGCTCCGATTTTTATGTTCCACGAGAGAATTACGTTAGTCATGTGATATATTGAAGCACCTAAATGACTATTGTTGGTATTGTACTCATTTCTCGTTAAACTAATTTCGTGCTTATGATTTGTACAATTTTTGTAATCATTTACTTATTTTATAAGACCATTTATGTACAGATTATAAAATTATTATTATCTTTTTACTTGCAAATTCAGCTTTGGTCGCGTTTACATAAATAGACTAGACAACGTTTTATTCTAACACTGTTATAAAGTAACTTACCAATCTATATATGTTATTTTATACGTATATTTTGTATTACATAGGTACCTATACAAAAAAACCCCTAATGCTAACTACAGATTGTATTCTTAAATTATTTTGATTGTTTTCACTTTCAATTACATACATAATTTTATAAACACTATACAATTTATTTTTTACAAATTATACTTTAACACTAACACGATATTTATAGTAAATACACAGAACGTTAACCATTACCATCACATTAGTGTCTTCACACTCACAACGTTTAAGCTCATGAGATCAGTTCTCTGAATTGCCCATACGAAAACGCACGAGTTCCACAACAGTTAACAACGGTTTCATTCAGTCCCTAATCGTACAAGTCTTTTTTAGATATAGTTGATATAGTGTAGAAACCACTGCTGTCGGTCACCTCGTCCGTGCTTTCCGTTAATCAGGAAATGTCTATGTTTTCCACCTTGTACAAGAAGCGGCGGCGACGCAAATCTCATGAGTCTCCATTCGGTGCTATGGTGACAGTGCTGCAGTTGGCCCGGGTGGATCTGGTCGAACTCCTGCGCAGGCCCACACCTACTGGATTCAGAACTATTAGGTTCTCGCTTTTTCGTTTTCCGTGGTATTTGCAGAAGAGGAGTTCCTTCATGCCTTTCCTGAAGTTTTTAGATAGGAATGCGTATAAAAGAGGATTGATTCCGGAGTTAAAATAAGTGATTAGGAAGGTGAGTGGTGTGAGGAGGGCGCTAAAGTCGCTGGTGCCCTCGTAGCCACTGGACCAGTACTGCCACATCTTGCGGGCGTGGAAGGGCAGGTTGCAGATGGCGAAGGTGAGCACGACCACGATGAGCATGCGCACGACGCCGCGGCGCGCGCGCAGCACGTTGCGCGACAGGTGGCTGAGATGGTGGCAGTCGCGCGACTCGTGGTTGCGACATTTAGGCGTGTTCGACTTTGCATTCATGAATTTCTGCAACAATATATAATTTTATTGTTTTCTTAAAAAAATGTCCTTGTAGCATTTTGGTTTAAAATATCTTTGCAGATTTCACACAGTTTCATTTTACAGACAATATGTCAAAATTGATTCGGTGGTTTAGGCTGAATATTTTTGTGGTAATAGAGATAGATTGGACCCTTGTATCGTATAAGGATCCAATCATTTCTCGAGTTGGGGAAATGGGGATATGAAAAAATTTTACGACGGTATTTTCATCACAGGACGCACGGTAAAACTTGCAGTGACAGACTGCTGAAAATAGCTCTATAAACTCTATAATAATTCTAATTTGCCATACATTTACACTTAAAATACTAACTTCTAGGTAAGTTACTAACTTTCTAGGTTAAGTATTTTCTTAGGTACATCTCTTCGCAAAATCTCATTAGTAAATCATTATAAGTATATTACGACTAGATTCATGTAAATAAAATGTTTAAATGGGTAAGGGTATGTAAGTTCTTGGAAGTTCTATTTGTAATTAACAGCTAAATTATTACAAAGTGGATTTTAATCAAACAAAATTGCCGTCTCAGAACTTTCTCGATATTTGAGAAAAGTAGAACCTATACCTAGGCGTAAGATATTCATGAAGAAAATAACTTCTTAAAACTAATAATCTATTACTTTAACCAAAAATCAAAATGTAATTCATATTGACAATGAATTAATTCTCCATTTCAAAGTAATAATTTTGGAAAGACTATAAGATGAGACTGATTACGTGTATTTAATGGTTTTTATTAATAACTAGTGGCCGCCCGCGACTTCGTACGCGTGGATCCCGTTTTACCCCCTTCATCTATCTATCTTACGCGGTTTAGATTTTTTCATACAATTTTTTTTCCCGCTAACTCCCGTTCCGGTGGGAATTTTGCAATATCCTGTTGTAACTAAGCTTTAAGTTTACTAAGGTACCTGCATGCCAAATTTCAAGCGTCTATATTACGCGGTTTAGATTTTTTCATATAAATGTTTTTTCCCGCTAACTCCCGTTCCCGTGAGAATTTTGCAATATCCTGTTGTAACTAAGCTTTAAGTTTACTAAGGTACCTGCATGCCAAATTTCAAGCGTCTATCTTAAGCGGTTTAGAGTTTTTCATACAAATGTTTTTTCCAGCTAACTCCCGTTCCCGTGGTAATTTTGCAATATCCTATTGTAACTAAGCTTTGAGTTTACTAAGGTACCTGCATGCCAAATTTCAAGCGTCTAACTTAAGCGGTTTAGATTTTTCATACAAAAGGATTTTCCCGCTAATTCCCGTTCCCGTGGGCATTCTTAGGTATCCTATAACCTGCCCAGGAGTATGAAGAATAATTGTACCAAGTTTCGTTAAAATCCGTCGAGTAGTTTTTGTTTCTATAAGGAACATACAGACAGACAGACAGACAGACAGACAGACAGACAGACAAAAATTTTACTGATTGCATTTTTGGCATCAGTATCGATCACTAATCACCCCCTGATAGTTATTTTGAAAATCTATTTCATGTACAGAATTGACCTCTCTACAGATTTATTATAAGTATAGATAATTATCCATAATCTTACTCTAAATACTTTAATAAGTAACACCTTTTTATTACTTTATTGTGATGAACTTAACAGAAATGCCACTAATTCTCTTTCTTTAAATTCTTTCTGGCAGAATTCTTGACAAATCCGCCCACTTGTGTTCCTAATGTGCCTGCGTCGGTATGCCAAGCTTCCAGCTGTTTTTAGGGTTCCTTGCACAGGACCGTACAGTCCTTAGTACTTTAAATCTTAGGACTTATATAAGTTAGGATTTAGCTAATACACTTGACAGATCTGGTACAGTCGTCAGCGCAAGTAGCCAAAAAGTTCGCAACACGTCTCTGTTACAATATTGAGATAAGGTTATGTTGTCAATTTTTTGGCCACTTTTGGGTGTCACGACATTATTTGACGCTCATACCTACATTGTCACCTTTATTATTCTAGATGTAGGACGTCCCAATTAAATACATAAGTATTTGACACTTAGACTGAGTTGCACCACCTAACTTTGACATAACTATAACGTTAGCCGGTGTTTTTTGTATGGAGTTTGACAGATTTTTGACGTTTGTCAAAGTTATTACGATGGTGCAACCCAGCCTCAGTAAGAATCTTTACCATCTCGAACCGCTACTTGCAGATTACATAAATTGAAATCATAGTTTTTTCTAACCTTAGTTTCAGTGGTGCCGACGAATGTCCGCTGGGGCTCGAAGTTGCTCGTGATGGCTGGTGTTTTGTCCACGCGTGGGCATTGCGTGGCACAGCACTGCGCTCGGCCAAGTTGCTGTAGCCCGTGAGAACTCTGCCACAGGCCCACTGCGATCCTCGTATAGAGAACCTGGTAAAAAGTGCTATAGCTATAATACCTACTTACAGGTACTATTATGTATGTACGAGTATAGCCGTGTGGGGAAGGCAGAGTAGAATGGGACCACTCCCAGTCTTCCTGTGAATGTCGTAAGAGGTGACTAAGGGAAAAATACATGCGAACATCAGCCGGGTTAGGATGCGTGCCGTGATATACTCTTATTGACGTCAAAATGTGGGCAAAACCGATAAAATGGCGTGATAACCACTTAACGCAGCGCACATCCTAGGCCTACAGGTCTCCTCAACCAGTCTAATCAGGTGGGAGGAATATGTGTGGAACAAATCATCTATTTGGCTTTAGTAAAATCATGTTCATGACCTGATAATGATTACAGCACTAACATTTTGTTTTTTACATTTTTGTTACAAAACCACAGCTTATTAAAAACTAAGTATAAAACCATGTTTGGCTTGATGTGTCGTGGCCATTATCCTTGGTTGATTGGTATCATAACTTCACCAAAACGGACGGAAATCCCATCTACTAACCCAGTCGACTGATATATAGCACCAGTAAAATGCTGAAGCACTGTCCTAAACGTGGGGGCTGAAAATACCCTAATGTTAGAGCTAATGAGCCTTCATGAATGTCCATTACACAGATGACAGAACATCAAGTTAAATGCTGAGGTATGTTTCGTTAACACTCGTTTTAGGTAATAAATTAGCCGACATAGATATACAGGATGATTTGGAATTAAAGCATACTCTTGTAAGGGGTTATAGTACAGGTCAATATTTGCAACATTTTTGTACCTATATGGACACTCATATGCAAAAGTGAACCATTATTGAAAAAAAATATTGTGCTTTTAAACCTTTTGGTATTACAAAACAATAAAGAAAAACATAACCCTCCTTCTGTCGCAGTCGGGTAAAAAGAATCAGTATTTATCACCTAGGATTTTCCCAAAAAAACACTAACATTTTTCAATAATGGTTACATTAAGGGATACAAAAATGTTGCAAATGACCTACCTGTACCTACCCCTTACAAGATTATGCTCTAATTCCAAGTCACCCTGTAGACAGACATTCATAAATTGACATTCATTAAAACTCCGTAAATTGGCCTTTAAAGCTTTTTTAAACATCCTAACTTTCATGTCTAAATGATAGGCAACTTAAATGTGTGTGTGACAATAATTGTATACTAACATCTGTTGCTACGAATATTTTGAAGCCTAAAACGTCGGTTAAAAGTTTGTAATTAAACGTTTTATGACCAAAGGCGTTAGGACTCATGCTATTTAAACGTTTTTTTAGGGTAAGTAAAGCGTACAATATGTGTGAATCTGCCAAAAGGAATATTCATGCAGTTTATTCTAATCTCATTAACCCTTACTACTACTACATAAATTAGAACATGCCATAAAAATCCATGATGCCGGTTGGAAACTGTTGTGTTCGTCATTAAGTTTAGTATCACTTTTAAATGAATATATCGAGTAAGGTTCTAACCATACACTGCACAGTAGACGTAGTATTATTTTTATGCAAGTCAAGGCAGGTATTTGACCGCAATCGCACCTGGTGCTAAGTGAGATGCAGTCTACGATGGTACATATCTGCCCTGTAAGTGTCTATTAAATAATTAAGAGACAAGCACGCGACCCCACAGCAGATAAATTAAGTACCAATTTTTACGCCCACGGCGCCAAATTTTGCAAAAAATAGACCCGAAATCCTGAACTCATACATTCGGCACTGAATATAAGACGACACTTCGTAATCAGCGAGTCGCAGCTTACCTTACATTGAAGAGCGTTAAAAGCAAATAAAACCGTTTGCTTTGCGTTTCCGGAAAAAGGATAATGATTTTGAAATTCGAATTCGTCTGTTACACCAGTGTAAGCTTGAAATTGCGGTGCATTAGAGAGTAATCTGTTTTTGTTCCCGGAAACAGTTCTCACGGGATCGGTAATGCCGTCTTAGCGAATCGAAATGGATATGTACGAGTAGGTATGTATGTAGGTAATGTTTCCTATTCCAGATTTTCGGCTAAAATGTTCACGAAGACTTTCCAGTGAAATAGGTTTTACAGAATTCCATAGAATGTATTGGAAGATCAATAAAAGAAGGTGTACAGAGAAAGCGGAGGAAAATTATGGAAATGTATTTATGTAAATCATTATTTTGCGTACAACTTCGCATATTTATTATGGAAGACGTGTTTGAGAAAAATAAGTGCTTCGTAAGGACCAAATTCGCAAACTCAATTAACTATCTTTGTAATAGGACAACAATAACTAAAGTCCCTGACATTTGAACAATTCTGATTCTTTTGGTTGGTTTAACTCAAGAAAGTTACGTTACATTTGTATTCCCAGCATTCCTTATTGAAAAGTTTGGCTTTTCGTAGTTACCAAACTTTGTTAGCAGCTGCTGCATCTTGTAAGAAGCGCATTACTGTAATAAACCAATTTTAAAGGTCTAATGAAGCTTGATTGCGTTATAGATAAAAGGTTTTTTATTTGTTCTTAAAATTATTTAAACAAAACCTCCCTTCACATAAATGCAGTACCTACTTAAAGCATAAAAACTTAAACCTTTAATAAAGTTGTTTTTGTCAACAAAATTAATTCGCTATTTTCTAAAAAAATGTCGTTCGCTATTTTGACTAACGCTTGTTATAGAATAGGTTGTGTGGTCTTTAAGAAATGAGCAAATAAAGAAAACAAATAAATACAGAACTACAGGACTGGATCAACTAATATTACTTTAATTTCTATTTAAAGTACATACGTTGTAAACTGATTGTAGTTTTGGAATAAAGAGTTTTGGCACGTTGCACTTTGATCTATTAAGTTCTAACCATACCTGCGCTAGTTCACTTAACCACTCTATCAAACGATTAGTTTCAAATCAAATTAGAAATTTTGAAATTAACATTTATTCCGTTGGGGGCTCGAGCACGAACTTTGATAGATATTTATGAATGTAGAGACTAAGTATGTTGTATCTTCTATTTAAATGTCCATAATCCGTTATTCTAGTTGCTATAAAGTTCAACGTACGAGCACGTTATCGCCATTAGTCCTAATTTTGAGCAATTCAGCTTATGAGGACTATCTGACCCCAGAGCCACCTTAGTTGTTACAAACCACACTATTAAGTTATCAGTTTCGCTTAGTTCGGGATTACATAGTTAATTGGATGTTATTGTTTGAATAATTTATCCATAGTTTTGATTTGCGGAGGCCGAAAACGCATTACGTACCGATTATTGTATAAGTATTATGCAAAAACTTAACCTGTTGTTGTTTATGTTATGCTATAAGTTGGGCAAACTGAAATTTAAAAAGGTATATTCGACTACTTAAGGGTTAACTATTTGTTTTTGTTACCTTTAACTAAAGGTAGATACAACGATTCCGGTTGATACATTAACCTTCTTGGAACTCTACACGCTTTCATCGTTATGTTTATCGAACTATGTAGGATTGAGCGAGCGCTAAATTACGTTATTATTCACTTACATTTTTCTTGGATTTCTTAAATATCATGTGCACCCGAGGAACGTGGTGAGTTTTGGAATATTAAAGTGCAACATTAAAATATTTCCAGCACCATTTAAATTTGCATGTTCCCGAAAAGGGTACATGAAACTCATCTTACATAAGCGGATCCACGCTTTTCTATTACGCAAACAAACCTTCGCAAAGGGCACTCCGTTATTATGAAATACAGTAGGTAACTGGCTGATCATAAAATGTGCGAAATTTATTGCCCGACCAATTGTTTATAATGGCAGCAGATTAACAATAAAATCCCTACTTAGATACTTTTTTTGTGTCAAAACGTAAAATATTAAATATATTATATTTATAATATTCTTCACAATAAAAAAACAATCGAGACGTGAAAATTCGAAAGACGAGAAGGCGAGAGGACAAAACAAAAGAACACCGATATTGGTCGTTGAAAAAAGAATGTAGTTTTCTTCGTGGCCAGTGTCGCGTGTTGATACTTTTTCAGGCTTTAACAATTGACTGTTAATAAGAACCATTCTTCATATTAATAAGTGCTAAGACGCCCAGAGAAAACTTGAAAGCGTACTCAAGTCTTGAGCTCGACTGTCTTGGCTCGGCTTCTAGTGACTTTCTTTTTATTTTCTCATTAATCATCACAATGGAATAAAATACCTCAAGTATTATCGGATGCGACTTCCTAATAATTTATTATGATTTTTGAATAAATTATTTTTAAAATCATAATAAACAATAATATGAACTTTATGAGTCATAACAATTAAGGTAATGCTTGTTACATAAGGCTTTACATAAAATATGTTGATGTTGATGTACACTTCAAAATAATATTGACGATTGAAAATCTGATTGTTGGGTCTAACTTACATGTCAATTTTCAATTCCCATACACAAACTGTGAACAGATTGTATAGAAATATGCAAACGATTTATGTGATTTTTCATGCGAATCCAAATTGTAGTGCTTGAAAAGGTTAGTGTAACGTAAACATTTATTTTGAGGCGGTAGTTTCGGCTTACTATCTAGGTCCCTACAGTGTTGTTCTTTTATTATAAAACTAGCGGCCGCCCGCGACTTTGTTCGCGTGGATCCCGTTTTACCCCCTTCATCTGCCCCATAAAATCTATCTTACCTACGCGGTTTAGATTTTTTCATACAAATGTTTTTTTCCCGCTAACTCCCGTTCCCGTGGGAATTTTGCAATATTCTGTTGTAACTAAGCTTTAAGTTTACTAAGGCCAAATTTCAAGCTTCTAACTTAAACGGTTTAGATTTTTCATACAAAAGGATTTTCCCGCTAATTCCCGTTCCCGTGGGAATTCCTAAGTATACTATAACCTGCCCAGGAGTATGAAGAATAATTGTACCAAGTTTCGTTAAAATCCATCGAGTAGTTTTTGTAATAAGGAATTTAAATTTAGTATAAGTAACATACAGACAGACAGACAAAAATTTTACTGACTGCATTTTTGGCAT